TGAGCTGTTTGGATGATTTGGTAGTCGAATGGTGATGGATGTTCTGGATGCGAGTGTGATTTTGATTGTGATTGTGATTGGAGTTCCTTTTTTGGAATGGATGAAATGCAATGGTTGTTGATGATTAATGGCGACTTTGATGTACGTATTTACCTGCATTGAACGAGAACGGTTTCGTTTTAAGCGCTTTTTCGTTTTTGAAATTTGGAGGATTATTGTAGAAACAGAAAGCGAAGATATTATCGTGTGATTTTTTATTTGACTTCATGGTTTCTTTTATCCTCTTTTTTTTTTTCCCCCTTTTCTCTCTTGTTGAGTGGGGATACTAAATTTAATTGATGCCGTAAAAAGATCGCATGATTTAAAAATTGTTAACTTTTATGAGACGAGCTATTTAAATATCATTTTCTTAAAGACTGTAATATTATAAATTCTTGTGCTTAAAAAAATTTAATCTCACGTGGTATAGAAATACGAGTTTGTTTTCTTTTGCTGACGAAAGAACTGGGAAGCTTGTTGTGTTGATTGAATTTGATAAACTGTAATGAAGCCCAACTCGAGAGCTTAATTTCGCTCTGTTCAAAGAAACCTTCAATAATTGCGTTGTAATTGACTTCCAACTTGAGTAATATCTTCTTGGTGGAATTTCTATGAATTGCATTAGCATGTATTTTCTTAACTTGGTGAAAATGTACTAATTGCCAATATTGAGCAAGCTATTTGAGCTTTTAGATGTTTATCTTAGAGGTCTGCATTTAAAAGCCACTGATTGATTAACATGTGATGCTTTCTCACGTATTCAAAATAAATGATTTTGGGAACCGATGACTTTGTTTCAATGAGAGGAAGAAAATGAAAAAAAAGAAAAGAAAAGAAAAGAAAAGAAATAAGAAATAAGAGGTACTTCACTTGCTTTTCAATGTACAAAATCCGATAAATCACAGTCAATAACAGTAAGTGCCTTACTTGATTGTTATTATCATTTTAATGAGATGAAGAAAATGAAAAGGAAATAAGATTTTATGTCCGTGATTCATGTACAAAATCTGTCCATATTTGATTAAGGTGGTGTAAGATGTGCCTTACTGTTATTGTCTCAGAAGTGCTGAAACTTTTCAATGGTATAGGTTTTCTTCCTTAGCATACCATGGTTACGGCAGCAGCAGCAACGGATTTGATAAATCCAAGAGGTACTTCACTTGCTTTTCAATGGAAATACCTAATCAAAGCCTACTGCTTTAAGATACGGCACCTCTTTCCTTTTTATTTATTTTTATTTTTTTGACATTCGACATTTGGTTGTATAGATGTTTGCATAGTTGGTGTTGCACGCACACCAATGGGTGGATTTCTTGGTAGTTTATCATCTTTATCAGCTACCAAGTTGGGATCCATAGCAATTGAAGGTAATTGTGAAACCTCTCTCTACTGCTCTGTATATGGAGTTGACCAATGATGAAGTATTTTCCTTCTTTCTTTGACTTATAGCTGCACTTAAAAGGGCGAAAGTTGATCCTTCACTTGTACAAGAAGTCGTCTTTGGCAATGTTCTAAGTGCAAATTTGGGGCAGGCTCCTGCCAGACAAGCTGCATTAGGTGCAGGAATACCTAATTCAGTGATTTGTACTACTGTCAACAAAGTTTGTGCGTCAGGGATGAAAGGTTCACATCCTTATCTTCATTCTAAGATTTTCCTCTCGGTACGATATTAATAGTCCGACTACATTTGTTATTGTGATTCTTTCAGCAACAATGCTTGCGGCACAGAGTATCCAGTTAGGCATTAATGACGTTGTAGTTTCTGGTGGAATGGAAAGCATGTCAAATGTACCGAAGTACCTTGCAGAAGCAAGGTTGCTTGTCTATTCTGAATTTCTCTTCTCATTCTCGGTGGCCTGAGCTCTAAGCATAATTTAATTTGTATTCATGCTAATTTGCAGGAAGGGGTCTCGTCTTGGTCATGATTCTCTTGTTGATGGAATGCTGAAAGATGGTTTATGGGATGTTTATACTAACTCGGGCATGGGAAATTGTGCCGAGTTATGTGCAGACAAATATGAAATTACAAGGGAGGCTCAGGTATTGCTTGTAATGCATGCTGAGTTTACGTTTGCTTTAGTTCTATTTTGTTAACTTATTTACATCCGGATTTTACGTAGGATAACTTCGCTGTTCAGAGCTTTGAGCGAGGTATTGCTGCCAAGGACAGCGGTGCCTTCGAATGGGAAATTGTTCCGGTTGGATTTCCTTCCATATCATTGCTTGGCTATTTCTCTGGCTTAAAATTATAAGCCTTCGCTATCTTTTTGCAGGTTGAAGTTTCTGGAGGAAGGGGAAAACCATCGACTACTGTCAATTCGGACGATGGCCTTGGAAAGGTACGCCCCTATCATCCATCTATGTTGTGCTTACTGTTTTTCATGCACCATGCACCCCGAGTGTACAATTTTCAAACATGCATGCATACTAAAAGTAAAATTTGTTCAATCGCCCGTACAAGATAAAGGGGTCAGAATGTAACCAAAATAATTCTAGAATTCTTTAGCAAGCTGTTATTTATTTCCTTTGAAAACAAATTAATTTGATGCCAGTTCGACCCTGCCAAGTTGAGGAAGCTTCGACCAAGTTTTAAAGAGAATGGAGGGACCGTAACTGCAGGCAATGCATCCAGCATAAGGTAAAGGAAAGCTTTTCTTGCACATGAATTGGGAAGTTCATAGAAACTTATCAAGCTTTATCGCCTGCGTTTATATGGATAAGTCGTGCCAGAGGATCAATCAAACTTATATTGAAAGTTGAAATTTTCTAATTGACAGTGATGGTGCTGCTGCCATAGTTTTAGTGAGTGGCAAGAAGGCATTGGAACTTGGGCTGGAAGTGATAGCAAAAATCAAAGGATATGCTGATGCTGCTCATGTAATTCCTGATTTTCTTTCATCAGCCGAAGCATTATGATGCTGCTCATGTAATTCCTGATTTTCTTTCATCAGCCGAAGCATTAACGATCACATCTTTGATCTTCAAAGAACTTTGTACTAACAATAATATGGGGAATTGATTTGCAGGCGCCAGAATTTTTCACAACTGCACCATCCCTTGCAGTTCCAAAGGCTATTTCCCATGCTGGCTTAGAAGCTTTGCAAATTGACTTCTACGAAATAAATGAAGCATTTGCTGTAAGATTTTTGTGACAGGCTCGAAATAATCAGTTTCCAGAACTTTGATCCTCAAATTCTTATATGTTCTATTTTATCGTTATTCTGTAGGTTGTGGCTCTTGCTAATCAGAAATTGCTTGGAATCTCTCCTGTGAGTACTCCTATGCCCTTCTACGGCCTCATTTAAATTGAATGATTTGAATATGACTTGCATTTAGTTAGTCATTCTAAATGTGCAATCTTCCTTATAGTTGTTATTCTACTGTCGTATTCCTCTTATTTCTTCATCAACAGGATAAAGTAAGTTCACGGTGGAGCTGTGTCGTTGGGGCATCCTCTTGGTTGCAGCGGGGCACGTATCTTGGCCACTCTTTTGGGGGTAATTTATCTAAAATCTCTGCAATGTTACCCAACCTTGAAAAGTTATTGAATAAGACTGTCTCTTAATAACGGTTAGATATGTACTCGTGCCTCTTAATAGCCACGAACTATAAATAAATGCAAAAATGTTAGTTATGTCGTGGAAGCATTATTGAATATTTATCCATTGCTTTGTGTATACGAAAGTCGATATCTCTCACGACCGATTATCGTACATTCTTTTCGCATTGCAGGTACTAAAGCAAAAAGGTGGGAAATATGGAGTTGGAGGTGGTGCATCTGCTCTTGTATTGGAGCTTGTGTGAAGCTGTTCAAGTCTCGAGCGTATGCGTCAAAGAAAACCGATAAGGTAACGTGTCCGACCATGGTTCGTATTAACTTGTTGTCTTCTTTTACCCCCTTGTGATGATGATAGGCTTAGAGATCTGGCAAAGTAGAGGCAATCAAGAGGTGTTTGTTTTCTATAATCAGATCAAGTAGTTTCATACTAATAAGGTTAAAAGTGTATTGTATTTAGCCATTAGAAGAAAGTGAATTATTCTTCCTTCATTCTCTGGTTCTGTTTTATTTTAGAATAAATTAGGGTTTATTTATTTATTTATTATTTATTATTATTCTGTTTATTTTCATTTTAAGAATAATTTATATTCTGCTTCTATAATTCTCCTTTTTTCGATCCTATTTTTCTCAATTTAATATATTTTTTTCGTAAGTTAGCTATAATTGTGTATGATGAAATTTTCTGAAAAGAACTTTTAAAAAATTCAATAATTCAAAAGAAAGTTTTTATTCGATTATTTTGGTAATGAAGTGATGGGATTTTTACTTATACTATTTATATAATATTTTTTGTCTTTAATAATCAAATATTTTATTGTTATCAATTCTATTTTTTTTAGTTAATTTTGCATGTTTTTTTTTTTTTTTGTTGTAAAACAAGTTAATTTATATTGTTTTATGTTTTTATAAAAGTATTTTAACTTACTTTAATAATTTGTTAGTATTTTTAGAGAACTATCCCTAATTATCAAAAGAGAAATTTTGAGAGAAATAATAAACAAATAATAATTCAATTTATTTGAGAATAAAATTAGCTTCACATTATACCATTGTTATATGTAAATGAAAAATATAAATATAATTAATTGTATACAGTTATTTATTAGTAAATTAATATATTAATTTATTTTAGCTATAATATATATATCCAAGAAAGAAAAGACAACAAAAGTAGTCAATATTACCTCTAGTATGGGCATAAAATGCCTAAACATCACGAGATATTTGAATTTCATATATTCTTACAATAATTCAAAAATTCATCTTTAAAAATAAAAATCTAATTCCTTCCCGAATTTCTACTAAAAAAAGTAAAAAAAAAAAAAAAAAAAAAAAAAAAAAAAAAAAAAGAAAAAAAGAAAAAGAAAAAANAAAAAAAAAAAAAAAAAAAAAAAAAAAAAAAAAAAAAAAAAAAAAAAAAAAAAAAAAAAAAAAAAAAAAAAAAACAGGAAGAAATAGATTAGCATATAATCTTTTACTGCGGGGGTAAAAAGAATGTTGGTGAAGTAAAAAGGGGGTTTAAACTCTGGAAGTGCCAAGCTTCCTTTCAAACAAGCGCTGCAGCAAGTAGACTTGGAGGACACTGGCCCCTACAAGCGCTGCTGATTCAAACATTGCCTTATGCATTGCCCTTTTGCTCATTGCTTCATTCACTGCAATCAAACACACCACAAATACATCACCCAACAATCAATCTACTACCTCCAGTTTCATTCTTTCAAGATCGGTATTCGGATTGAACTGGAAACGTGACCCGAGTTCCACTTGATACCCCTGTGAGGTATCTTCCATGGACTATATGCTACGAGTGTACCAAAAAAAAGAACATGTGTTCAACCCAATCTGAACCAAACCGTACAAGTTTTAAGTAGTGGGTTGGTCAAATATGTTGAGGATTATTGGGAGAGGAGTCACACGTCGGCTAATCAAGGGGTTGGTCATGAGTTTATAAGTAAGGAACACATCTCCATTGGTATGAGGTCTTTTAGGGAAACAAAAAACAAAGCTACGAGAGCTTATAGTCAAAGTGGACAATATCATACTATTGTAGAGAGTCGTGGTTTCTAACATGGTATCAGAGTCATGCCCTTAACTTAGTTATGTCAATGAATCCTCGAATGTCAAAGAAAAAAGTTGTGAGCCTCGAAGGTGTATTCAAAAGTTGTCTAAAGTGCGAACAAAAGATGTACTTTGTTCGAGGGCTCCATATGCCTCAGGGGAGGTTCTATGGTGTACTTTGTTCGAGGGGAGGATAGTTGGGAGAGGAGTCCCACATTGGTTAATTAAGTAAGGAATACATCTCCATTAGTATGAGGCATTTCGGGGAAACCAAAAGCAAAGCCACGAGAGTTTATGCTCAAAGTAAGACAATATCAAACCATTATGGAGAGTCGTGGTTTCTAATAAAATATGCACCTTAAACAATTAGGTTATATCCGAGATGTTGCTTAAGCCAACCCAGCCTACGAACCCATGAACACCCCCAAGTTAAGCAAGGCTTCTCTGTTACTCGTAATCTTTCTTCGATTATCTTATACAACAAAACTTTGGTGTTGGGAGTAGCCATGCATCAGGAATCCTCCACAACTACACGTCGTTGAACTCAAAACAACAATGCCTAAAACTTCTTTTGGAGAAATCACATAATCTAAGGCCCGACTGATAACTATTTGGTTCCTTGTTTTGTCTTTTAAAAAATTAAGCTCATCCACGTTACTTCCAGCTATGTGTTCCTGTACTTTGTTATCTACTTTCATAAACGTTTTCAAAATCCAAATAGTTATCAAACGAGATCTAATATGTTAAGTTTCAAAGTCACTCGATATCATCGATGAAAAATTTCAACGTACGAAATAAACTCCTAAGTCGATGTCAAAGAAATTATAAAAGCTTGAAACAAGTTCATCGACATACCTATTTCCTGGCGATCAGTCTGAGCCTCTAACCAATGCTGTTCAAACTGAATATTGTAAAGAGCCTCCTCCAGCTTAGATATTTGATCCATCAAAGGATTGAAATGCTCTGCAGGCATATGCACCAGTTTTGAGATTGATTTTAACTTGTAAAAGAATGTCAGTACATAATAAAACATAGAATGGTATCTCACCATCTTTTGCATGCTGCTCCTGATAGGAAAAATGACCAACGTGCATATCAAAGTCGATCGTTTCGTGGTACGGAGACTTGTTCGTAAAGCAGAATCGATGAAGGCCTTTGTTGTGAACAACAAATTCATGTTTTTCGCTCGTCTTGTCTCGGACATCATGAAGATGTTCACCATTAGGACCCTTTATCTAGATTTCAAGCAAGAACATGGAATTAACGACAAATTCCACAATGGAAATCAATATAACACAAGGATTGCAGATCATTTCCCATAAAAGAACACTCCCTCAAAAGAGAAAAATCAGGGGAAAAATCTAAGTTGATACCTATCCACGGTAGCCACCTGCCTAGGATTTAATACCCCATGAGTTTTATGCACAAGCAAATATCGTAGGGTTAGACAGTTGTCCTATGAGAGCAGTCGAGGTCCCACGAGCTAGTTTAGACACTAACGTAAACATAGAAAATTAAAGCATCTCCCACACACTCGCTCTCCCTCCCTCCCTACAAATCAAAGGATCTCCAAAAGGTAACTTGAAAAAATACCACCTGGTCCACTTCATATAGCGAGATACGACAATACTCGTTCCAGTTTTACTGATAATCCTCTAGCACGAAGATATATTAGTGGTTTTTGCTCCTAGTTTTGGTAATAGGGTCTATTTGGAGTGATTTTCTAAATGCATATAAAAGGATTTTTAAGCACTTGAGAAGTCATTCCAAACATGTTCTACGTCTTCTAGCACCCCAAAAGCCCGGATGTAACTTTTATCATTAGGATCTCTCTCTCTCTCTCTCCAGTCAAATCTAAACATAAGTCCTTGCCCAAGAAAACCAAGACGCCACTTCCCCATTTTCATGAGACAAGAATTAAGAATAACATTTCTCAAACATAACAGATAACAACAGACACACAAAACCTATGCATCTTACTAGTCCAATGTGAGATTCCACACTGGTCGGAGAGGGGAACGAAGCATTTTTTATAAGAATGTGGAAACTTCTCCCTAGTAGACGCGGTTGGAGAGAGAAACGAAGCATTTCTTATAAGGATGTGGAAACCTCTCCCTAGTAGACGCGGTTAGAGAGGAGAACGAAGCATTCCTTATAAGGGTGTGGAAACCTCTCCTTAGTAGACGCGTTTTAAAAACCTTGAGGGGATGCTTGGAAGGGAAATCCCAAAAAATGACAATATCTGCCAGCGTTGGGATCGGGTCGTGACAGAATGGTATTAGAGCCAGATATCGGGAGGTGTGCCAACGAGGACCCTAGCCCCTAAGGGAGGTGGATTGTGAGATTCCACATTGGTTGGAGAGAGAAACGAAGCATTCTTTATAAGGGTGTGGAAACTTCTCCCTAGTAGATGCATTTTAAAAACCTTGAGAGAAAACCCAAAAGGGAAAGCCCAAAAAAGGACAATATCTGCTAGCGGTGGGATAGGGTCGTGATAGAATGTTATCAAAACCAGACATTGGGAGGTGTGCTAGTGAGGACCTTGACCCCAAAGAAGATGGATTGTGAGATTCCACATCAATTGGAGAGGGACACGAAGCATTCCTAATAAGAATGTGGAAACCTCCCCTAGTAGACGCGTTTTACAAACGATGAGGGGGAGCTCGGAAGGTAAAGCCCAAAAAGAACAATATCTACTAGCGGTAGATTTCGACTCCTACACCCTGTTTCAAGTTTTTATTATAACAAGCTAAACAAAACAAAAGCAAATAAAATGGAGGAAAGAATGATACCACAAGATCAACACCATCATCGCCGTAGTGCCATGCTGAATCTGCCTTGATTACAACAAAAGAAACATGAACAGTATCTCCCTCGTATAGAACATTATGAGAGAAACATTCTTCCCTGTCTATCACAAACCTAATCCCTTCTGATTTTCTCAAATTCAGCAGCAATACCCCCACAAACGCCATCATCACCACACATCTCATAGCCCATCGCTCCATTTCTTCAAAAATCGAAGAACCATATAGCAAATAACAAGAATGAAACAAAAACAAAGTCAAATCTTCAAGATCTGTGATGAACAAATTGAAGCAGAACGAACCAAAAAATGAAAAGGGTATGAATAATTACCTCAAAATATTGGGAATCCGGGGAAGAACAAACAAATTCCGCAAATTGGGGGAAGAGAGATTCTGGGAAATTGTAAGAATAAGTTAAAGAATGTGTTTGATCTGAGAGGAGAAGAGGATTTTGGGTGAAAACGCGCGAGGCGGAGTAGGAGTTGGAAATCAAAATGTCTTAACTTATTACTCCATACGATACGGATACAATGTCCGATTATGACGCGTCCGAATTATATTGGATGGATGACGACACTTTGACCAATACGAAATGGGTTCCTCTTCTCTCCTTGATTCCAAGACTTTTCATTTTAAAAATGGAAACTTTTTTTATCTAAAAAAATTTACAACTAATAATAACACTATTAGTTTTTCTTTTATTATTAATTATATATTTAACCATTTTAAAATTTGTCTATTTTTTTTTTTAAAAAAAAAACACGGTCATACCCAAGATCCTGATAAGAATTTAGTGTTCGGATTTGACAAAAGGCCTTGACATTTCTTTGCACGACATAGTTACGTTATTTGCAATTCGCTTCTTACGAGCGAAGACTCTTCCTGCAAGACCGACACGAATCCTTCCAACATACTTTGTCTTTGTTTTCATTACAAATTGAGCTATTGAGAAGGAAAGTGTACTTCATTAGTATAGATAATAAATTTTATTTCTTTTAAGTATTTTTTAGTTATCCTATTCTCATAATCATTCTCATTCAAATGTGGTCTCCATTCTCATGTACCATTTTTTTACTCGGGTGTCACATTAACATTTGCTTTTTTTATAATAAATTTAGCTTGGCTTGTTATTTGCATGATATTATAAAGTTTTAATAAAGTTTCATTCACAAAAAGTTTGTATTCTACTTCACGTACGGCACAATATCTACTACTCAAAAGTGTGAGTAGATCTGAAAATATTATTACTCACGAAACAATACATAGTTAAGAATAATAAATAGAATTGGAATTGAAGGTTCAATATTCGTTGATATTCACAACGTTTAAATAGAGTACATCATATAAACTAACTAAATCTTAAAAATAAAATAAAATATAGTACTAATGAAATAAAAATATTAACAGATTACGGATATACAAGATATATTTCATAACTAATATATTCTCCAAATATTAACTGATTACGAATATAATGACTAATTCAAACTTGCACTAAGTTGCACTCTGACAACATAATTACTACAAATACAATCACTCAATTAAGAAAAGAATAAGATCAAAATAATAATAATAAATATGTAAATAATGTTAGCCGGATTCTATTTGATTCGTACAATCTTTAACTTTCAATGCACAAACATTTATTCTATCTTGCAATGCAACACAATGATCTCTCCCATAACATAAAGAGGCTTATCGACGAAAAAAAAATAATAATAATTCATGTTCATGCTAACGAAAGCAAATTCAATATCATGACTATGTCTTTCTTGAGAAGTGTAGCAAGTCAGTGAGTAGAAGAGAAGAAATTTTTAAGTCCTATCTAATTCTATCATCCTAAGTTTGGTGGTCGTTTAGGTCAGCGGGCAGAACAACTACTAGACCGCACTATATTTGATTGGCAAGGAAACATGTAGGTATTAAATTCTAAATGGATTATCACCACAGATTGAGCTCATTCCCTCTAAGCCCGAATGCAAACGAGAAAGTAGGCTCGAGGTAAGTTACAAAGAAGAGAGTCGAAAACGAAAAGCTTTTGTTCTCTATATTTATTCATTTACTTATTAACATTACAAACTAACTAATTAAAGATAATCACATAAGAAGATAACGAACGATTTCTTACTCCTAAGTAGGCATTGTGTTCGACTCGAAATATGTACTCTAAGCATAAGGATGAGAGTCGATCTTTTTTCTATTTACAATACTCAGGGAGGGGAGGTCTGTCAAGCAAGGAGTATAACTCATAACCCAACTATAAGTACGTGGAGATCCATGTGCTGTGTGGATAAAGTGAAAAACTAGGCAGAATTTCCTTACTTGTATAGCTGTTCAAGGACGTTCTTGAATTTTGCCTTGACTTGTTCTCTTTTTATCTTTAAAGCAGCAGTAACCAATCCTGATTCTGGGGTCCATGGATCTGCTACCAACTTAATTTTTTCAGGAATCTCGAACTTTTGTAACTTTGCATCTTTTGCGACCTGTAAAGTTATTACAAATACTCCTTTCAGAAGTGGGATTTCATAGCATACAACAAAGAATAAAGTTAAATACTCAGAGTCTACCAGAGGATTCAAACTAATCTAGTTTGGGTAACGACCCAGATCCACCGCTAGCAGATATTGTTCTCTTTAGGCTTTCCTTTTCGGGCTTCCCCTCAAGGCTTTAAAACACGTCTACTAGGGAAAGGTTTCCACACCCTTATAAATGGTGATTTGTTCTCGTGGGACATCACAATCCACCCCCCTTCGGGGCCCAGCGTCCTCACTGGCACTCTTTCCTTCTTCTAATCGATGTGGGACCACCCCCAAATCCACCCCCCTTTGGGGCCCAACATCCTTACTGGCACACCGCCTCGTGTCTACCCTCTTCGGAGAACAGCGAGAAGGCCGGCACATCGTCCGGTGACTGGCTCTGATACCATTAGTAACGACACAGATCCACCGCTAGCAGATATTGTCCTCTTTGGGCTTTCCTTTTCGGGCTTCCCCTCAGGCTTTAAAACGCGTCTACTAGAGGAAGGTTTCCACACCCTTATAAATGGTGATTTGTTTTCCTCTCCAACTAATGTGGAACATCACAGTTTGCCATCCTAATTGCTCCATTCGTCGAAGCTTATTTCTCGTCATTTTTTATATTCAAATATGAGATGAAAGTTCAAGCTGTTTTGTCGATTGGTTAAAAAAATACCCCTATTTTTTCAAAAGTTTAAATATTACCCTTATCATTTTAATAGGCTTCAAAATTACCCTTGAAGTAGAGAAACTAAGAGAATATTGGACGAAAATTGATGTCTTTCTTTCAAACGTAATCCAAGCCAGTGTTTTAGTCACCATCACACTATTCCAAGTCACTGTCACACCAATTTTTCATCCAACATTCATAATAGGTAAGGATAATGTTTCAACTCTTGAAAAAAAAATGGATATTTTCCAAAAAAATTGGCAAGGTTCATAGGTTAAATATATATATATATAGCCTCCATTCTATCTATGTGCTAGTGTTCTTTTTTTCTTTTTTTTCTGTGCGGACTGTTTCTCTTATTCTTTGCCTTTCAAAAGATAAGATCAGGATTTGCAAACCTTGGAAAGGGATCTCTGAACCTCACTGATGATTTCGCCATTCTCACATAGCTGAACAAAATCTCCATAGTTGATGCCAGCTTCTTTGGCCCACTTCTCAAGAGCTGGACGCAAAGGGACGACAAGAGCAACACAATAATTGTGAAAGGGGTCCGCATACACCATAACATTATCCACGTACTTGCTTGACAGAAGGGCTGCCTCGGCCTATATGCACAGAGGAAGAACTTAAACTAAATGAAAACTTTGATGACATGTTTGTTGAGGATTGTTGGGAGGGAGTCCCGCATTAGCTAATTTAGGGAATGATCTTGGGTTTATAAGGAATACATCTCCATTGACATGAAGCCTTTTGGAAAGCCCAAAACAAAGTCACGAGAGCTTATGCTCAAAGTGGACAATATCATAGCATTGTGGAGAGTCGTAATTCCTAACGATGCAGAAAATTTTGTGTTGAAGTTTAAAATCTCACCTTCCCAAGAGATACGTATTCTCCATGCTGAAGTTTAACGATGTCTTTTTTCCTGTCTATGATCTCAAGGCATCCGTCAGGATGGAATGTTCCTATATCTCCAGTGTAAAACCAGCGCATGCCTTTCTCATCATCCTGTTGCAAGCTGAAACTTGAGATCTCTGCTATGAAATCTAATGGAAGAATTTGAAAGAAATACCTTGTAGACCTCGTTAGTTTTTTCAGGGTTCTTGAAGTAACCAGCAGTAACGCAATTACCCCCAATAACAATCTCTCCTCTTGGCATTGGTTTGTCGGTCGTCCTATAGCCACCTTCTTCCCAAGAAATGAGCTGCAACAACGGTAATAGTAAAGAATTGACGTAAGTAATATTAAATTTACACCAACTCATTAACGTAAGATGTTGGGTTCACAACTAAATTCACAGTAACCTATCAGCTTAAGTTTTTGGCTTTAGCAGTGATTTCTCTTTTTTTTTTTTTTTGGAATATTGCATCTCATGCGGGTGGGTGGGAGGATTCGAACCTATGATCTCTTTCAAAAGAATTAAAGAGGCCTTATGTTCTTAGTTCGATGATTTGACAAACAACATATTATTGATCCTTGCACACACCATGACATTATTCATTTTCCACCATGATATGTAGCATCAAAGAATTGTTTCTTAAGTGGATGAAGATTGAAGTCCTGCAACTCATTTTGACCCTACTTAAGAAGGTTGGAGAATAACAAATTTATTGTGTGATTTGAAATAAGATCCTTGCGTACCTTAATGAAGCAACAAGGAAGAGGAGGCCCAACACGTCCCACACTTGTGTCATCCCATTCGGAAAAAGCAGCTCCAGCAAATGTTTCTGTCAGACCATACCCTTGACCAATTGTAGCCCTGTTGAAGAGCAATATAATACGTAAAAAGAAATGCAGACAATTGGAACAAATAATTTATTTTCACAAGCCCCATGATCATTAGAAATCAATGGAGTGGTTAGATAGCCTGATAAATGACAATCAAAAGTAAAGCTTGCAAATCCAAACGAAATTTGGCCATGAAGATGTACCAATATCGGAAGTAAGTATTGAATTTATTTCAATTGTATTTGCATCTAAAATTTGAGAACCATTACCCCATGCAAATATTGAAAAACCGTTGAGACTCTCCTGATAGAGGAGCCCCACCACAAAGCATGAACCGAACGCGCCCTCCAAGTGCTGAACGTATTTTTTTGAAGATAAGAACATTCCAAAACATTCTTTCCAGTCCCCAAGCTCCAAACCAGCTTCCTTCCAAAGCTGCCAATTGGCGATTATATCCGATGTGGAAGAGTTTCTTCACTAAGCCTTCCCTCTCTTCAACCTAATTGTGGCATTATTGATCATTATCTAATATACAAGTCATAAGTGGATAAAGAAGATGCATTTATCCGTCAAAACCTTCTTCAA